CCAGGACGAACCTGGTTCCGCCACGGGGACATCCCTCCATCCCCGAAGCGAGATTAGCTGTCGGAGCTGGTGGGCTGTCCAAAAGAGTATAAAGGTAAAGTCATACCGACGCCTTGTACCTATCTATCCACCAACATTCACTCTCCCTCATAAACTCTCTTTACACCTGCTCACCCTCTGTCATTCTTTATTCTTTCCTACCAACAAAAATGGTTCGTCAGCTTACATTGGCCTGCGGACTGCTGGCAGCAGTGGCCGTCCAGGCAGCCCCCGCGGAACCGGCTCATCCGATGGTGACTGAAGCGCCGGACGCCAGCCTCCTCCACAAGCGAGCCACCACTTGCACCTTCTCAGGCTCTGAGGGAGCGTCCAAAGTGAGCAAGTCCAAGACGGCCTGCTCCACCATCTACCTGTCCGCCCTGGCTGTCCCCTCCGGTACCACCCTGGACTTGAAGGACCTCAACGACGGAACTCACGTAGGTATTGCCCGACGTAAAGTGCCAAGGGTTGCGCTAATGGAGTCGATTAGGTCATCTTCGAAGGCGAGACCACCTTCGGGTACGAAGAATGGGAGGGCCCGCTCGTCTCCGTATCCGGAACCGATATCACGGTCGAGGGCGCAAGTGGTGCCGTTTTGAACGGCGATGGCAGCCGCTGGTGGGATGGAGAGGGAGGCAACGGTGGCAAGACTAAGCCCAAATTCTTTGCGGCCCACGACTTGACTTCCTCGACGATCAAGAGCATCTATATCGAGAACTCCCCGGTGCAGGTCTTCAGTATCGATGGTGCGACCGATCTGACTTTGACAGACATCACCATTGACAACACCGATGGTGATACGGATGATCTTGCTGCTAACACCGATGGTTTCGACATTGGAGAGAGCACCGACATCACAATCACGGGAGCCAAGGTCTACAACCAGGATGACTGTGTTGCCATCAATTCTGGCGAGGTAAACTCGACCCCAATTGCTGAAGAGACCCAATCCTAACCATCCTGTAGAACATCTACTTCAGTGCCAGTGTGTGCTCCGGTGGCCATGGGCTGTCCATTGGCTCTGTCGGCGGTCGGGATGATAACACGGTGAAGAACGTCACCTTCTACGATGTCAATGTTCTCAAGTCTCAGCAAGGTACTTCCCCTGGCATTCCAGACTACGGGCCCCGTGCTAATCGGCCCTTCAGCTATCCGTATCAAGGCCATCTACGGAGACACTGGCTCCATTAGCGACATCACCTATCATGAGATAGCTTTCTCGGATGCCACAGACTACGGTATTGTCATCGAGCAGAACTACGATGATACCTCTAAGACCCCAACCACTGGCGTCCCCATCACGGATTTCACCCTCGAGAACGTGATTGGCACTTGTGCGGACGACGATTGCACCGAGGTTTACATTGCGTGCGGTAGTGGCGCCTGCTCGGACTGGAGCTGGTCCAGCGTGAGTGTCACGGGCGGCAAGGTCAGCTCCAAGTGCCTGAATGTCCCCTCCGGGATAAGCTGCGACTTGTAGGGGATTTGCCGCTGGAGTCGGCTGGACTTACCCAGGGAACTGTTCTATCTCGCTATGGCTGTGGACGTACCAGAACATGCCACCAAGCGCCTAGTCAACATATCTATCTTCTGCCAAATGAATACTATTTCCAGCCTCTACCTACATGTATAGTCTACCATCGTAGCATTCCGCCCTCACTAATGACGATCGCGGCGATTCCGACAGAGACTTTGCTGGGAATGACGGAGCGGCTTGAAGTTAACGGCGTAGCCATCCTGTGACTGGTGACTAGGGAGATGAAAGCCACCAGCGCGTCACTTTGGGTGCGTAAAGGGTCGTTTTTCATCTCTGTTAGCCACGGCCAGGAGAATCCGGAATATGTCGCATGAGTACATTAGATGAGAATATGTATGTGTAGAATTGTTAGAACTGATGGTCTTAAATGCTTGTCCTTCGTTTCAGATGTCGGTACTACTCTCATAGTGCCAGTCCGCCGAAGCATAATTAGGTGCAAGCTATAGTGTCGCCGCCCCTTCGTTTAATCGTTTTGCAGCCAAATCAAATCCGCGTCGCTCAGAACAGGAGTTACGGCTCTTGAACATGAACAAATAAACAAATCACGGACGAAACTAGAGATTCCGAGAGGGGGCGGGGTGCTTTTGAGAAATGCCGTGGCGATGGTTCAGGGTTACTCTCATGGACGGCAGATAGAGCAATCTGGACAAGTGATGCATGCAAAACCAGATAGACACTGAAGATACACCGCGTGGGGTGTTCCATGGCATATACAGTTCTTCGTTCCCCGACTCCCACGTCGCTTTCAAGGCTCACCTACATGGCATATTATGTTTGTCTCTATATGCCTGGACCGTTCCTAGCAAGCCTCATAATCCCTGTGCTTGAAGGAATTTGAATATTAACTGGAAGGCCTGGGGTGCGACCGTGTGAAGGTTGAGGTTGTGTCTGGGGAGGGTTAGGGTTAGTACGAGACAACCATATCTCAAGACTGTGCAAGAGACTCACCCGGCAGGAAGATCATCCACCCAGTTTACCACCCGCGAATTGTTGAATGTGGCCGGACTGTTTTCCAACTGTCCCCTACAATTGCCGCCACAGGAGGACAGATCGAACTGGCCCTGAACGAGGTAGACGGGGGCAGTAATGCGGGAGTATTGAATTGGGGAGGCCAGCAGTGAAGGGAGCTCCCCCACTGCGAAGGGCTCTCCCTCCACCGTCGCTGCCCACTGCGCCACCTGCGGGTCGAAATGGGGAGCAGCGAAACCGTAGTAGGCCACGGCATATTGGTCACCGGCCGTCAAGTAGGCCGAATCCAGCGTGCCCCACCGAGAGGGCGACAAGGTACGCGCCTGGCGCAGATGCGACCCGGCCAAGAAATACCCAAAATAGTCGAAGGCGCTGCTGAAGCCGGTCAGCACGAGGGCGTCCACGGCGACTGAGGCGGCCGATGCGGCTGCCAGATAGCTTCCGTAGCTGTGACCGACAAGCCCGACCTTGCTGACGTGCGGCAGTCGGCGAGCATAGTCCACCAGACTGTTCAGGACTGCTGTCTCCACTTGGAACTGAGCATCAAACAGACCGTCAACCCGGGATGACGAACCGACGCCGATGCGATCGTAGTTCAGCACCGAATACCCGGCGGCGACTGCGGCCTTGACGAAGTTGTATGGGTCAGACCCGGGGAAAGTAGGGTCCCAGTACCTGCACAGACATTTGTTACTGCACTTCACCCCTTTTCATTGGGTATGATACGTACGCTTTGGACTCGATGATACCATGAGTGAGAACCAGAATCGTCGCGCCGGTGCCGCAGAGCGTGCCTCCAATGGTATAATTGCTCTCCACGGGGCTGGCTGTAGACCCAGAGATCGGAATAGGGTCGGCGGATGAGCCAGAGTCGCGTCGGGTCAGATTAAAGACCAATGATGCTGCATCCCAATCGTTGCTGATTGTGGTGTTAATAATGAACCGCGGTTCCTGCACAGTGATGGGGATATCGACCGCGTGACACGCTGGCGTTCCTTGCGATGGGAGCGCCCAGCAGCCGGCTGCGAGGAGAAACAAAGACAAGAGAGAGGCGGTGGCCATAGCTGCAGCGACAAATAACCAGCGGAGGAGGCCTGTGAATAAGATAGTTTCGCTTCTTCATGTCAACTTCTGAGCCCCCATTTATAGGGTTGGCGCAGGCCAGTAGCCGATGACGAGGGAAGACCGAAGGCAGCAAAGATGAGGTTCGAAAGGTCAGAGAACTTCCCGATATGAATACGACCTCGCCAATTGCCGTGCTGATCCTTCTTGGATTTCCACCCCCGGTGATTGGGTGTTTGGGGTGCCAAGAACCCCGAATCCGCTGACACGAGGCGCGAAACAAGCACCAATGCACCCTGACACGAACACACCCCTCCCCCTGGAATTCTCAATGTCTCAGTCCGATTGCTTTGCTGCCAGAATGTCGATTGTAGATCATCCACCTTCGTATAGTGCGGCGGGAGATAACCGAAGGAGCCAGTCTAGTTGACGGACAGTACTGAGTTGTGACTACCTAGTCTCGGATCCACAATCGAGCAGACAACGTGCGCTTCCGAGATTGCCTCAACCACTGTCAGCTCGACATCAGCCCCAGGTACCTGCCGGTACATTCTTCACTCTGGTGATGGCGTCTTTCATCTATGTAAGAACATGCCGCCGACCCCTGTGGCCTCTCAATATCTCTGGTGAGTAGTCTTGGTCAGGAGGCACAAGTCGGTGGCATCCCCCCGGCATATCCCCGTCTAATTATCACATTACGAAATGCAAAGCTAAAGCTGATTCCGGTTCTGATCAAAACTGCTGTACTTCTGCTGGCCACCGAGTCCCACACACTCCAACTGGAATAATATTGATAAACTAGGATTAGCAGACAGAAGGACGACATGGTGATATATGCTCCGTAGGAATATCCGATACGGGTGATGACGGGCTCACTGTGCTGCAAGAAATCCACAACCGGCACGTGGAGAATAAATCACTGCAAACAGTTCCGAAATACCTTTTCATGCTGTCAAGCAAAGCCGGGCTCACCAGCGACCCACCACATCACCACAAACCTTTACTGTTCCCGTGTAACCTGCGAAGTCAGCACCATGTATTCTCGAACTTGGCTGGTGCTTGATCGATCAGTATTTAAGAGAAGTGGGTTTAACGCGGAACGTCTGTACAGCCAAGCCCAGAGTCTGGATAAGCCTTCAACAGGATGGGTCGTATTTGTCAAATCTACGCCAAGAAGGAAATAAGGTGGAAACATAAATCTTCCCCGGCCTGGCCCTCGTTAAGTGACTGTCCGTAACCGGCTTTCTCGCCATCCGGTCATTGATTAGGCCGCGTCACCGGCCATGAACCAGCGAGAACGTATTCGTTCCGAACAGGCGTAAATATGATCTGCCCTTCCACAACAAAGGCAAAGATACTTTTCATTCTCGGCACGCCCGGTTCACAGCAGCCCTTATTGAATTATAAACCCATCCCAGTTCTGCAGAGCCTTGCGACACAGATCCTCGTATAATGGCAGCCCTCCCGGGAAAGCCAACATCTCCCGCTTCCTACCCGGGATGTTTGCCCCAATCGCGTCGACAATCCACTGGGGCTGCATCTCAATTAAAGCCGGGCCGTTGCTCAGTGCTGTTGGACCATGCACAGCATAACACAAGAACATATTAAAATACCCCTTACGGGTCATGCCCAGGAATACGCTGGCGCCGTTATTACCTCACTCGTCTGCGAGCGATGTACCGGAAGTGTTGCGAAGCGCAGCAATGCGGGTTAGGCTACCAGTAAAACAGTCAAGGTTCGTCGCAAAGGCACTTGCGTCGACAGGATAAAATCCACCGTCTTCGGTTTCTATCCCCTTGGGCCTGATAGCCGAAATACCGTGACTGGCGTCGCGCACGTTAACCAACTCCACATTTGTCCTATTAAAAATCTCGTAATAGTCTTACTCGAAACACGACCTCTTGGCACCGATCGGGTGTGGCGGCTCGAGAGGGGCCAGGATATCTCTCCTTAAAAGGTCGGTTATTCTCGCTCGCATCCTCTTCGCCCGAAATTCATAAGCCTCTCGGTTCGCCTTTTCGTTCGTCAGCAGGTAACTATACCCTTTGGGCAGAAACGCGAACCCCCCTCGGTTGTATAGCTACTCATCAAGCGCCTCGCGTTTGTCCAATAGGACGTCAAAGGTTGCCTGCGGACTCGGCTGATCCAGATACCCGCTGAATGTCTTTTCTCGCTGCATGAAGATGAGTCGTGCGTCCTCCTCAAGCGCATTAAGCCCCGCGGTGGAGTAAGTGTGCTGCCTCATAGGAAGAGCCAGGTTCGGCGTCCGCTGAAACACCACCAGCGATTCTGCTTGCTTAGCCCAGGACTATACAATCTGCACGCCTGACGCCCCTGTCCCAATTACGGCAACCTTCTTCCCCTTCACATCGATCCCAGCTTTTGGCCAAAACACCGAATGGCACACCTCTACTTTGAACGTCTCAAGGCCCTGAAACTCGGGGACAAATGGTTCTGCGGCAAAGCCGACACACGAGATGAAGAATTGCGAGCGCATGACTCGTCCGTCGCAAGTTTCAATCCTCCAATTTCTCTTCCCTTCCGCACTAACATCATACCAGGCCCCAGTCACAGTCGTCTCGGCAGAGAGATACTTCTCGGTGAATGACCATGTCTCCGAGATCTCCGGAATAGATAGTTGGTAGATGAAGCCCAGTGTATCGACCCGGCAACCTGGGTAAGTATTCCAGTGCCACACGCCGCCGAGATCGGTGCCCGACTCGTAGATCCAACAGCTGTATCCTAGTTTACAGAGACTGTAGAGGAGGTTGATGCCTGAAAAGACTGGCGCCGATGATGATAATACTGTATCGAGGGTTGTTCGTGGGCATTTTCGGGAATGGGTAATAAGGATAGCTACGCGGTGGTTGGGTGTGGAGATCTCAAATAAGAATACTTCATACTGCTGCAAGCCGGTGGGGTGATTGGGGGTAATATATAAGAAAATTCCGAATGAGAGTACCGCACTGAGAAAGGATGTCCGGGATTATATCATACTTTGAAAGGATTGCTGCCCATAATACTGGCATAGCTTATTCGTCGGCTCGGTAGAGCTAAGGCACTGCGGGGCAATCCGTGCCTGTGCCCTGTTCGTCAAGGCTGACGGACGCATCATCGAAGACGGCGCCAACGATAGCTCCTGGATAAAAGCTATAAGACCCAGTTAGATTGTGTTTTTCTGAGATTGGCTCTTGAGAACGAATCTGGCACGAACAAGATTATTAAAGAGGCAGAACTTGGGTTACATTTCTTGGACATGGAGAGAAAGCCCTGAGGAAGTAACTGGAGCACAATTACCAGAGGCACAAGCAGCCCGTGAACACCACCGAGTAATAGTGATAAACACTGGCGACATCTAGGAGCATCTAATACAGTACTAGTATGGCTCTTTGCTTACCGTATGTATTCAGGGTAAGATATGATCATGTCCAGCTTATGAGATTTGTAACGAATTTCTTTCTTCAACTGTCGGACCTGCACTCCAAATCAGACTGATACCCCTCTATTTATAATTCAGTAATCAGGGACCCCCTTGAAAGTTCGTTTGGTCTACTATTCCACACACACACACACACTCTCTCTCTCTCTCTCTCTCTCTCTCTCTCTCTCTCTCCACACACACACTCCACAAACACACGTTTTGACGGTATTGACTCCTTCTTACCATAGCAAATGGCTTACACAGTCGGCAACCATAGCCTGGATCTGCAAAGTACCTTGACTCGGATCATGAGTTCGGGAGGATTCAGTGACCTTCGGTTTGTCTGCAATGGACAGAGCTTGAATGTCCACAAGGCGATTGTCTGTCTCCAGTCTCCGTCGATCAAAGCAGCTGTCGAGGGGAACTTCGAAGTACTTATTCTGCTACCGGGGGAGTGATAGCGATACTAGGCTAACGAGCCGGACCTTATCCAGGAATCCCAAACTGCTATCATCAACATAGACAACTTTCAGCCCAGGGCGGTGACGGCGCTAGTTGAGTAACTCTACACCGGCGGGTATGGAAGCCTCTCAACGAGTGATAATGCCGTAGGCGTTTCGCAGACTCCTTCCGATCTTGAATCATTGTCTTCGAGCCCAGATACGGCCACACTTCTGCTTGACCATATTCGTGTTAAGGCCATTGGTGATTATTATCAGGTCGATGGTCTTATGACCGCGGCAAATCAGAAGATCAAACACCTGCATGAGAGCTCCAATGCTGACAAATCCTGGGTTGCAAGTCTTCCCACCGCGATCCAGCTGGCCATAAGCTGTACAGCAAATGAAGGCCTGCTTGACATCTTGGCTGAAGTGACTGCTAAAGAACTAGCTTCTGTCATCCACCTAGAAGACTTCATTTCAATCGAGCCCATCTATGGGTTTGCCGGGAAAGTGCTGCATGGGTGCTGGGAAAGAATTCAGGACTGTTGAATGAAAATGACCAGCTGAAGTCCGATTTATCCAGCAAAGATTTCGAGCGTCGGGCGGCAGAGCGTGAACATGAGAGAGTTCAGTCACATTATAGACGCATGGAGCAGTGCTTGACAGTCCTGACCAACACATCGTTCTGCAGGAACCCCAAATGTGGTGCGGAGTTCTGGTGCGCTATTGATGCCAAGGAGTGCATTGTCCGGTGCGGTAAGTGTCGGTGTAGGCACTACTCGTGATCGGTGGTTTGGCCTTGTGTACCTCGAAGATTCCACTGGGCACGCGGCCAGAAGGGATGATATCAGCCTAGAGAAATTATGATGCGTGGTTTTCTTTTTTCATCTGTGGTTCGTTGATCGTAGCCGTGGAGGCTCAAATACCGTTCACCATATTAGTCTGCACCCAGCTACTCTTGATGGTTGTCTGCAGACTGTGTTCGCAGGTTCGTATAGGGACATCGCCCTTGAGGCTTGCTATTTACCTACATTATCGGAAGCTATCTCTCGGGAATAGATAGACGCAAGACACAGGCTGCCGCCAGCTTTTACCGTCCCTCTGGACCTGCGTGAGTCATCCGCACAAAATTCAAGGCAGATCTAGAAGCTAGGTACTCTGTCTGGGCTTCTATGAGGGATGCCGGACGGTTCATGGGAGATTAGGAAAGAGAGTTGTTGGTACCTAAGTAATTGACCTCTGCAGTTGGTTGTTGGTTTTCAAGGTTGCCAAGGGCTTTAGTACAGCTCAACGAATTATCAGGTGTCCAATGAGTACGGAATACTCGGTGTTGGATTTGGCACGGGGGTTGGCGGGAGTGCGAGAGCCATTGCGGGCAGGTTGACTGCATAGTCCAAGATGGGCTAGCTTTTATTGAGCACTCTGTACCTCCATGGCTGACTAGAGTGATTATAGTCGAAGACAATCACAAATATAATATTGCGGAGACACAGATGGAAGAGTGGAGGAGAGAATGGCGAGATGGACGAACATTGTTTTGGTTGTTGTGGTGGTGCTGGTGGTGTTTGTCTTTTGTTCTGCGCGGCTCGGTCGGGGACAGACAAACAAACACTGCAAACCACGGCTCCAAGTAACGTCGTACGTCCCACGTGACTCGCTCCCTGCTGACTGACTGTGTCCTCTCATCAACAACAAGTGCGCTCTGGTCTGCTACTGTGGTGAGTGGAGACTCCAGGCCCACGATTAGAATTTGGCATAATACCGTGGTACTCTCTCGATGTTTGACTGTTCCTTCTTCTTCTCATAAGTGGACTATGTAAGGCTCCTAAAGGGGTTTACCTTTAGTAGCTTCAACCTAAGGTCTAGATGCGGCTATATATCTCGGAGCACAAGCAGGGACGCTATCGCTTCGTCACCCAATAGATGGTCCCACCCTTATTGGGTTGACACCACCGTTGGTCGGGCTACAAGTACGGAAAGGGCCAGCCATAAATACCTGCTGTGAGCTCAATTCCGGACTCAATTTCCTGTGCCTTGGCTTTCAGCTCGTCCACATCCCAGTTGGCCCAGGCTTGTCAACCCCGGAGGAAAGAGGCCTCTGAACTAGCAAGCCAAACAGTAAATTCGGCTGGCAAATTCACTGAAGATGCGTTAGCCCCGAATGATGACATGGAGCACATACAACGTACCAGTGTTTATTGGCAACTGATCTGCCTGGCCGCCGCTCTTGTGGAAGATCTCGGTTTCTACCATACCAGGATGAAGAGTGGCCACAAACAGCGATGGGTTCTCCGCTGCCAGGTACTCCATCATCTTGATCAAGGCCAGCTTGGGGCTGAGATAGGCCGATAGTCCCGGGACTATGGTGGGCGGCAACACAGTGGCAGCAGCGACGGGAATGATGGCAGCGCCTGGACTAGCCCTGGGGAGAAAGCACTTAGCCGGCACCATCGTTCCTTTGACATTGGTCTGCAAACGACGTCAGAAATAACTCTCACCTGACAAGATAAACTGACTTCGAAGCTTTGTCACCAACTCTCGGTGGAAGACTCGGCGATGGATGACGGGGTGGCGAGGAAGGCTGCGCCAAGAATGAGAACATCCCATGGGTCTAACCCACTGGCAATCTCTTTCACACGACCCTCATCAGTCACGTCGATGGAATGAACAACAACCTTGACTTGAAATCCCAGGAGATTTTGCTCAGTCTCCCGTAACTTGGATTCATTGCGACCGATGAGAACGATGGAGCTGGCGCCGGCCTTCGCAAACGCGCATGCTGTGGCTCGACCAATACCACTGCCCTAGTTTGTAGCGTCATGACAGTAAATACTAGGAGGAGGGATATAGCAGAGAGGGCGGATTTGCTCACCGCACCAGTGATGATCACTGTCTTGCCGGTCATGCTCAGCTCTGGCCGTGTAGGCGCGATGGCCGGGTAGGTATCATTGTGCCACGTTGGCGTCACAGAGGGAAGTGGTGGTCTCATCGTCTGGCAGTGAGAGAAGTCTACCGGGAGATAGTTTTGGCAAAGGGGATAGAAAGCAGTAGCCGAGGGGAAGGACTTGGACGATCATGAGGCAATCGAGAATCTGGCGGAGGTGATTTATATAATTGTTATGGGAAATAACAACCTAGCAAAACCCCCACGCGGGGCACCTGTACAGGACAAATAAAAGAGAGAGACTGAAAGCAAACTTGAGTTGCATACTATCTGCTCGATCGCAGGGATATCCTACTGCAGTTGCTCGCAGGGGTTCTGTTCCTTTGCTGCTTTGTTTGCTTTTTGAAATCACACGTCGACCTGCGTAATGCTGTAAAAAAAGAAATTGAGTAAAATAAAATAAAAATAAAACAAAATAAAGAAAAAAAAAGAAGACAAGATTACCACAGCAAACGATGGGACACTTGTCACAATCAGTGCATGGACATGATTTGCAATTACCAAGGACCAGATCTCACTGTATGACCTTAGAATTAGGGGCTCGAACATCCTTTGAGGGGGATATGAAAATGCTATATTGAATGAAGTAGTCCTGATAGATTCTAACTTCGGCAGCAACACCGTGAGTGGAACCATACTGGTTGCGCAAAAATGGATTCTATCAACTTGAGCTTGTTCCAAGATGACCATCGCAAACATGCTGTCATGTTAGGGGCGCTTAGTGGATTACTTCTTCACCATGGGTTGTTTATCAAAGGAGAATGGCATCTACAGGCTCCCACCGTGGCAGTGGCTCATCTGTGTGCGTTTGGGGGTATCGTCTGCCTCTCCTGGATGTTGGTCAGACCAACCCATCGATTCGAGATGGCGTTTCTGCTGATTGCAAGTTATCTGACGACACTAACCAGCAGCATAATCGCTTATTGGTTGTTCTTCCATCGGCTTTGCGGCTTTCCCGGGCCTCGTCTTGCGCAAGTGAGCAAGCTATGGCATGTATGGAAGGCTCGACATTCCCGGAACTATTTGATGTTGCAGAATCTACGCAACCAATATGGTGACTTCGTGCGCACTGGTATGGCACCAGCCGTGCGAAATCTATGGAGACGCTGACCTTTTAGGACCGAGCGAGCTCACAGTATTCCACCCCGAGGTCTTCACGGCGATAGATGGGCCGCGAAGCAGCTGCATCAAGGCGGAATGGTACGACATCTTGCATCCTCAGATGGCTCTCGTCACTGCTCGTGACAAAGGCACGCATGCCAGCCGCCGTCATCAGTGGAACCAAGGACTCTCAGCCAAAGGTAAGTAGTCGCTGGAATGTAGTATGCCTACGATCCGGACTGACCAGTAAAACCTAGCTCTAGAGCAATACGAAGCCAAGTTTCGAGCTCATATCGAGCAATTGGAAGCGTGTGTTGCTGGCGATGCCCAAGAAGGCAAGGGTATCTGAAGTCACAGACCTTTTCTACTGGTTTGGCTTTGACGCGATGGGTGACTTTGTGTTCAATAAATCATTTCATATGCTACATAGCCAGCGATGGCATCATATTGTTGTCTTGTTACAGCGCGCTCTGTCCCTGCTCGGGCCCTTTAGTCCGATACCGTGGTTTATTCACATTGCGTTCAAGCTGTTTCCCCGCGTGTGGCTTTTGAGAGATTGGTTTGAGATGCTTGCTTGGTCCGAATTGCAGATGCGCCAGCGAATGAAGGTCAGTCACCCCTTGCTTATCGGGCACTTGTTCCATGTTTACGATTCTTTCCCACTGACGACGATATAAACCAGCTGCCCCAAGACCCGCATCGCGTCCCCGACGTGGCCCACGATCTAATGGAAGATGCCCGCACCAATTTGAACCACCCAACTTGGTTGACTGGCGACAACATTCTAGCGGTTGTCGCTGGTAGTGAGCCAACTGTTGTTGTTCTCGTGGGGATCTTCTGCGAGCTTGGACGGAACCCTACCCACGCCGCACGCATCTACCAGGAGACCCGTGGGGTCGATCTCTCCGATCCTCGCACCCTGCTTCGGAATTGCTCTTATCTAGAAGCAGTGATTACTGAGGCGTTGCGTCTCTATCCTGCATTGCCCACCGGGGGCAACCGGAAGACCGCGGCGGACAGCCTCGTCATCGGGGGGGTGTATATCCCCCAATTCACCACTATCGTCGCCCCACGGTGGAATATCTCTCGTCGTACGAACACAGTCTTATTGCATCCCAGTAGCAATCGCAGTTGACTGACCTGTGACTGTAGGGGAGGACTGTTTTGTGTCCACAGAGAAATTCCTCCCCGAGAGGTGGTTGGAAAGACCGGAGATGGTACGCAACAAAGCGGCTTACGCTCCGTTCGGAACTGGTACGTCAACGCGCTACTTACTATCGCCTGCAAGGACAATATGCAACAAATACTAATACTGAACACGCGATAATCTAGGCCATCATAGCTGCTTAGGCAAGTCTCTTGGCCTGGATGTTTTACGCCTTGTGAGAGCGCGGTTAGTGGACAAGTATATTATCCGGTTCCCCCCGGGTGAGAACGGGGACCAGGTGTTAAACGACATGAGAGATCAATTCACCTCCAATCCTGGGCGTTTGCGATTGCAATTCGAACCACGGAAGAAGATCCAATCGGGAGCAAGGTAAGGTGCTGCCTACGTGGCTGATGTGTCAAGATAGCGTGATCTGTGTATTTTAGCGCTTGATAATGTTGTTTAGTGAATTATGTGGATGTTTACTACTCTAGGACGGTCGGTACCCCCTCCTCCTGGTACCAAAAATCATGCATGCTCGACAACTCGAGACGTAGCCGGAGGCTTTGTCACCAAAGACCGCAACTCGCCGTCCTCGTCGACGTCCAAAGAGCAATCGAGCATCATTGCATCATTGTGTTTGGGACGACGATGCACCGGCTCACTCCCAAAGGTGTGTTGACCTTCCCGCAGCGGTGCTTCCAAGGGTGCTTCTGCATTCCCCGAGGAGCCAAGAATGCAATACAAATAGGGCTCAATGTAACGACGATACAGGGGGGCTAGTACAGGTAAACAAACAATTATCATACTGAGCCAAAGCTCCAAGAAGCTCACGAGAGCGACAGGATACAGTCCGTAGACAAAGTCGAGGTTGGTCGTTGGATCCAGGGTAATGCGAAGGCGCAAAGCCATGACAGCAACTACGCTAGGAGGAGTGTTAGTTGGATTTTGAATACAAACCGGGGCGGGTGCTTACATCAACCCAAGACCAAACATGATGGTGATGGTGAGCTTGTTGCGAGTGGCCATCTTGAGCTTCCACAGTGCAGGAATGGGGAGCAGCGCGATGCCTGTGTCGATAATCATGTTGATTGATATGGACAAGATCTCCTGGATGTATAGGGAACGACAGTATCCTTTCTTGACGTGGTTTCAGCCAAAAGACACAGGATGGCACTGAGTGAGAAAGATGGGTAGGAAAGCCACGAAGTAGGCCACGACGCAGGCGGCGGCTGTCCAGAGCATCCGAGTAAGGCCGCGCGAAGGAAACAGCGAGGCATACCGGGATAGAATTGAGAGTTTGCAACAGACAGTGCCCATTAGCCAGGTCACACTACTGGCGACAATGAGCTGGTACTGAACTCCCAGTTCGTAAGCTGAGAGGGTAGTGGTATGAGCACCCAGTTGATTGGTAATGGCCCACCAGCAGACACCGGCCATGCAACAGGTACTGGAGTAGGCAATAGTGACGAGTCAATCGTGCGCGAGAAGGGAACGCCGGGTAATGGCAATGGCCCAGAATCGAAGACCAAGGATGAGAGTGGTGAGAAGGGTGAAGACGGCGATCCAGATGGCAAGCTCAACACCGCGCGAACTGACGGCCATGATTGCTGTAATGCGAGCGATAGAATTGAAATGTCAGACATGGATTGTACACCTCCGATTGTTGGCAAATGCTCGTAGAGATGGGCTGTATCTATTGAATAAATACTTCTTTGCGCAACCCGGTACCCCATGGAGGTCAGACTATTAACTATCCACTATCCCGATGTATGCAACACAGTCAAAGGCTCAGCAACCGCGGCTCCACGCGGGAAACGTACCATCACTGGTCTGGTGCTTCACTGAAAGCAACGTTCCTACCTTTGTGCTTCCAAACACGATATTTGGCGTGTTGGCTGGCCTGGCGGGGGTCGTTCTGGCGAGCCGCACCTCTCCTACAAGCCTCAAAGTCATGCTTCTATTCCGACTACCCTTCATCATTCGATTCAACTGGGTCACGGTGTTCATTTTTGATCTGGCCAACCAGCGATTACCCGAGTCAGTGCAAGAAGACAAAATCAACAAGCCGTGGCGCCCTATCCCCACAGGGCGCATCACCGGGGACCAAACCCGGCAGCTGTTGTTAGCCGCCATTCCCCTCACTCTGACACTAAACTATTGGTTGGGAGTGGGCCAGAAAAGTTGCCTGATCCTGCTGATCACCTGGCTCTACAACGATCTCAAGGGCGGAGACGGGCTCCTGCGTGACGCGTTGATTGCCATTGCCTATGGGTTGTTCAATCGCGCGTCTCTCTTCATTGCTCTGGGTGGCTGTGCCCTCGACTTGCAGGGGTACATCTGGGTTGCCATCATCAGTGGAGTGATTCGGACCACCATGCAGATCCAGGATTTGAAGGATCAACAAGGTGATCGTTCCCGTGGTCGCTTGTCGATGCCCTTATGGCTGGGTGACACGGTCTCACGGCGGCTCATTGCATTGTTCACCTTGGCCTGGAGTCTCGTCTGCGTTCCGTTTTGGAAACTCCCACCATGGGGGTTGTTTGCGCCCTTAGGAATGGCAGTCTGCGTAGGGCTGCAGCTGTTTTCTCAACGATCGGCTGCGGCGGATGCCTTAGCTTGGCGCTTGTGGTGTTTGTGGTTGGTGACGCTGTATTTACTACCATTGTGGGCTTCTTGGTCCGGCCACTCATCGCGCTAGGGGAATGTTGGGTGGGATTGAAACTACTCCGTAGAGTGTACAATATAAGAATGTGGCGGCGGAAGGCTGCTTTGCCCTAAACCATTGTACTGTACTGCTCACTTGCTTTACCCTTGCTTGCACCACCCATCAAATCACACCGATTCACTACCCCTCGCAAAATCCCCATGGATTCCCATTCCCCTCCTCTCAAGACGGCCGACTACATCATTGTCGGTGGGGGCACATCAGGCCTAGTGGTGGCGAATCTCCTCTCGGAGGACCCCACGGTGTCGGTTTTGGTGTTGGAAAGTGGTCCCGACCGAGCAAAAGACCCTCGTATCACAGACCCCATGGCCTGGCCAAGTTTGTCGGGCTCGGAGCTCGACTGGCAGTTCAAGATAGTGTCCCAGGAGGGACTGAATGGACGCTCCCAAGAACATCCGGCCGGACATGTCCTGGGCGGTTCATCAGCCATCAATGACCTGGCATTTGTCCCTCCATCCGCTGCGGGGCTGAATGCCTGGGAACAGATGGGGAAACCCGGTTGGAACTGGCAGACTTTGTCTGTCTATCTCCAGCGCTCTTTTAACGGACCGGGCCCGATTCAATTGTCCTCTCCGGCCCTAGCGCAGGAGGGAAACCAGCCTCTCATTCAAGCCTGGAATCGTGCCTTCAGTGACCAGGGGTATGCTCATGCCAGTAAACTGGTCCTCGAAAAGCCGACCGTTGGCACTAGACCGTACACTGCGACTATCGATCCTAATTGCGTCCAGCGAAGCAGCGCAGATGTTGCGTATGGCGCAGTGGCAGCGCAACGCCCGAACCTGACTATTCTGACGGCGGCAACGGTCCATCGCATTGTGTTTGACTCGCCAGCTGTCGGGGACCGGCATCGAGCAGCCGGGGCCTTGGTTGAAATTGCTGATAACCCAGATCTGGAGCTTGTTCGGGCGAGTCGAGAGGTAGTGCTTGCAGCGGGAGTCTTCCAGACCCCCAAACTACTGGAGCTGTCAGGGGTGGGGGACCCAGCTGTACTGGGGCCCACAAAATCCCAGTCTTGATCAGCAATCGGGGCGTGGGAGCCAATGTGCAAAACCATCTGATGGCAATGGTTCCCTGTCCACTGTCCCGCATTCCTGAAACAGAGGATCTGAACCCAGGATTTCAAGCCCTCGCCTTTGTGCGACTCGACAACCAGGAGGATCTGCGTCTTCTGGACCAGTTCCTATCGTCCGAGAGATCAGCAACTTCGGGGCGCACGCAGGCCATTGAGTCAATCCTAGCTAATCTAGATGAAGCTTCAGCCTGCATATTCCTGAGCACAATGCCTGGGCCAGTGGCATTGCTCGGTCTGATCCCGTGTTTTCCTCTGTCTGTCGGTCACACGCACATCGCCTCTGCGGATCCCCATGCAAAACCCAGCATTGACCCGCAGTTCTTTTCGCACCCGTTGAACTTGGAGCTTATGGCTCGTCATTGGCAGGTGGTGCAGCGCCTTCCTATTGCTCCTCCCTTACACAAGTTCTTCGACCGTGGTGTGGCTCCCACCGAGGCCAGTTTGGAGATCACCAAAGCCGCAGTGCGGGAGAACGCACTCACAACGCACCATGCCTGCGGATCCGTCGCCATGCTACCGCTCGAAAAGGGGGGAGCGGTCTATTCTACGCTGACTGTCTACGGTACCACAAATCTTCGGGTGGTAGATGCCAGTGTCTTTCCTCTGATGCCCCATGCGAACCCGATGACAACAGTGTACGCGGTGGCGGAGAGAGCCGCAGACATACTCAAGGGCTTGTAGTTAGGTACAACCACCTAGGAAGGGCTGTGTTGGTCTAACGTTGCATCTGAATTACTCTATGATGGACGTGCCAGATTGAAACCCAATGAATCCAATTAGCAGTGGTAAGTTTGGTTCAAGCACGAAAGAGTAGGCATCGCGAGCTGTTGTAGTCGGAAAGGTTTTCAATTGCTACCAGGCCGAGCGAGACACCGAGCGAACACTAGAAAAGATACATAAACGAGGACAATGAGCCCTGCGTCGGAACCCATTTTGGTCAGGAAGATCTCTTGGCCCGCAGCATGGTTGCAAGGCCATCTCTTGTTCTGGGGGTCTGTGGTCAGCGGAGTTCTCGCAGCCCTACTTTCCACCCCTGCGTCTACCCCTGAGCTCCTATCCACACTTCCTTCTATTCATTGTAAATACTTTCCTGGCGACAGCTGCTGGCCGACCGAACAAGAATGAGATGCATTCAACGTCAGCTTGGGAGGCAAGCTCATCGCCACCGTGCCTTTACCCAGCGTGTCCCATCTGAATAATGCTTTCACCACGTATGACCCCGGGGCCTGTGAAGAGCTGCGCTCTGTGTGGAGCTACCCGAGCACACATACTCGCGACAGCGCCTCTCCGATGGCACCTTGGGTTGGAAACTTCTCCTGCGAGCCGTTCCTGGATGCACGCACCCCTTGCCAGATTGGGCCCCTGGTGCGCTACTCAGTCAAGGCGACCAGTGTCCGGGATTACCAGCAGACTATTCAATTCACCAAACAGCACAATATCCGACTCGTGATACGCAACAATGGTCACGATTACTTGGGGAAATCTTCCGGAGTAGGGGCGGTCGCACTCTGGACTCATCATATGAAGGATATCGAGTTTTCAGACTATACCTCCCCGCACTACCGCGGTCGGGCGATCAAGGTTGGGCCTGGACTGCAGGGTATTGAAGCAATGGCGGCGGCGCATGCTCAGAGCAATGTGCTAGTGGTAGGAAACTGTGAAACCGTGGGAGTGGCGGGAGGATACTATCAAGGAGGGGGTCACGGTCAATTAGCCTCCTGGCTTGGGTTGGCAGCCGATCAGGTGCTGGCCTGGGATGTTGTTACCGCTGCCGATGAGGTTATAACCGCCACGCCGACGCAGAATCCAGACCTGTACTGGGCACTGAGCGGCGGTGGTGGCGGCACGTACGGGGTCGTGATCTCGATGACCAGCAAGGTCTATCCCGAGCTCCGCACCGCGACTGCCAACTTGACCTTTTCGATCGATCCCCAATTCTCACCACGGTTCTGGGAAGTGGTACAGATCTTTGTGGCGGGAATTCAACCGCTGACCGACATTGGCGGCGTGGCCATCTGGGAACTAACCAACAGGACATTCGTAGTATCCCCCGTCACAGTCCCTGGTGGCACACAGGCACTCTTGCAGACCTGGCTACAGCCTACCTTGGAACTCCTGGTTCGGTATCAAATGAGCTTCAACTATACCATCCATGAATACACCACCTTCTACGAGAGTTACAGGGAAATGAACCGGTCTAGCAACGTAACCGAGTACCAGATCGGCGGGCGCTTGATTCCACGGTCGACGGTAGACAGGAGTCTCAGCAAGCTGTTTCATGCTCTCCAAACTATCACCGAACATGGAGCTGTCGTGTCTGGGGTGTCATTGAACGTCTCCCGCACCCCCGTCCCGGATAACGCGGTTAATCCGGCCTGGCGCGACACAGCTATCTCCATTGTCATTGCCATGTAAGTCCTTGGTTCACTGCAAGACCATAATCGGGTTGAGGCACATCTGACTCATCACTCAGGCCGTTTGACTACCACAACCGCACTGCGAACCGGATGAGCCGAGGATTAATCACCAGCACCCTCCTCCCCTTGCTTGAGGAGCTGACCCCAGGAAGTGGCGCCTATCTCAACGAGGCTGACATCGACCAGCCCAACTGGCAATCCACATTTTATGGAAGCAACTACGCACAACTAGCCGCTATCAAGCTCAAGTACGACCCCGATCATTTTTTCTACGCTCGCACGGCAGTTGGGAGTGAGTACTGGGTCGAGTCGGTGGATGGGCGGTTGTGTCATGCGGTGTGATCATGGGGTTGAAGCAGTGATAAGAATTTGATACTTGTGAGTCAGGCCATATCCTCACTTTCTCTCGCGGTTGCATCCTCTTCGATGGTTACTAAGCCCCTGTTTTGAACTACATGGACGGTCTGTAGATCTGCTATTCGCATCATTGACTGCTTAGTAATGGTATGAAATTGTGTGTGATCAAGCATATCTTGTGAGTGAGTCAGCATGAAATGGTTAGTAGGTAGTTAACTAAGTTACATAAAGGACCAACCCAGTCCTGTACTGGCCAATGAATTCAGGTTCGGTGCAGTTTCAGGGTAAAAAACAGTTCCGATGCTCTTCTCACGTGGGATTGTACCATAGAGAGAATAAAGATTTTTTATCTTTCCCGTGTGTTATTATTCATGATCAGATGCGCACAGTTACTTGTGCCATCTCAGTTGCGTTGCGCAATATATGATGCGCCCCGGCTTTCCCGCCCTCCGGATATCACGCCAAACCGGAAGAATGTCCCCAAGGAACTGGCTACTACGTCTTTTTGTCAAAGTATCAGTCTAAAAGCTTGGATCTGGCGAGAGATGACCATTGGACGCAGGGTAGGCAGCGAAGTTGCTTGAGAGGGATCTAGCCTGTTCCCGGAGAGCTGATCCTGCGACCGAAAGACCGACTGCGCTCGAACAGTTTCTTAGGAAGCCTATGACGTATTCTGTACGCTACGAAGGGAGGGGGCAGGGTCTTGGGTTATGTCATTCTCGTGGAAAGCCTGTAATCCGGAAGCACGGAAGCCCTACAAGGAGGGCTGAGAGAGGGATTTTGGTCCACTCGGAAAACCGGGGTTTTCAGCCCTACAAGGCACAGGCCCCACTCCCCTGATCCACTCGCCAGTCTGGAATGGAGATCAAACCAAGATTACTGGCAGACTCAACTGGGAAGCTTGACCAAGCTGACGCATTAGCCTTAGCCGAACACCAGGCTTGTGCAATCTTGACCCAAGGCACACTTCAAAGACTCCTTTCAATCCGCATGGCTGTCACCAACATGATGCCATCAATCTGTCGTCAGTGTACGGCTCCTCAGCATATAAAGCAATTAATCTGTCGGTTCTGGAGTCGCTCAACAGACCATCAAAATCCACTCTCTATCTCATCCTCTACACAAGTTTAAATAGTAACGATGTCCCATAACTCGCCCCACGTGGCCTCTCTCCTGCACAAGAAGCCGCATTACCACTCCGAGCTGGGCTCCATCCAAGCCATCACTGCCGAAGATCTCCCCATCCTCAAGAACCTGTCCATCAAGCGTCTACGTCTGGGGCGCAATGCGATCCGCGAGCCCCACTGGCACGCCAATGCCAACGAACTGGCCTACTGCTTGCACGGCAAGGTTCTCATCTCCATCCTCGACAGCGGTAACGAATTCTCCGTGTTCACCCTGAACCGGGGAGAGATGTTTTTCGTGGAATCCGGCTCTCTGCATCACATCGAGAACATCGGCGAAGGTGAAGCAGAGCTGATTATCTGTTTTCGCCACGAGCGCCCGACGGATTTCTCCCTCGCCGCCTCCCTGGGGGCGATGAGCGATACGGTCCTGGGCAACACCTACGGCCACCACGCGTCTGACTGGAAGAACATCGCCAGGGATACGCAGACCAAGTATATGGTTCGCCGGCAGGGAGAGGTCGATCTGCCTCGCACTGCTCTCCTGCCCAACCGCCATAAGTTCGACGTCGAAGGCATGACGCCACCCACCTCCCATGATTTCGGCACCGCACGAACAGCCAAGAGTCAGTTCTGGCCCGCCCTGCCCAACATGTCCATGTATTCTCTGCGAGTGGAGGAGGACGGTATGCGGGAGCCGCACTGGCATCCGTCGACGGCCGAGATGGGATACGTGGCTGAGGGTACAGGGCGCATGTCGGTCATGGACCCCGACGGGTCGGTCGATACTTATATCCTGAAGCCCGGTGATGTGTACTACATCCCTGTGGCCTACCCGCATCAGATTGAGGCAGTGGGAGATGGTAAAATTCACTTCTTGATCTTCTTCGATCAGCCCATGCCGCAAGACGTGGGCTACCGGAATGCTGCCACCTTGTTGACGCCGGAGAGTATGGCTGCCACCCTTGGGGTGGATGTCAAGAACCTCCCCAAATTCCCTCACACCCCGAAAGATCCTCTGATTGTGAAGAAGCGCAACGAGGTGGATCCAGTGAAAGCCAAGCTGTGAGGCCTTACCTTGGCTGTAGACTGGCTGAGTGGGAACAGCACCCCGAAGGAATGTTTCATTAGTAATATAGGTAAAACATCTCACATAATGAGTGTAGTGCATAGAGTCTACGTCAAACAAGAAACACAGCTTGCCATCTCCTTCAATGTCCTGGTACTCTCCTTTTCAAATGGTCCACCACCCACTGTACTTCCTCCACCAAGATCTCCGGTTGCGTTATAGGGAGACTGTGGCCCTCCTCTAGGACCTTTCGAAAACGATTGCAGCCCGACAGCCTGAGTTGACCCGCCCGAAGCTCATCATTGAACATCTGCGCCTGCTCAAAGAACCGTGTACATTCCTCCCTCTCGGCCCTCGTCCCATTTCCCATCCGCACTCCTGCCTCGAAGATCAATCGAAAGTCCTTCGTGAAGTCCGCGCAAATGACACTGAGAGGTGCATTCCCAAGCACTTGTCGGGCAAATTGCTGTTCCCTGAGCAGCCGCTTAGCACTCAGCCTGGGGTTCTCTAGGGCACTGCCACGGGCGCTCTTCTTCAACTGAGCTTTTACATATGCCAGCTCTTGATCTGTCAGACGTGATCGTTCCCTTTCATGCGTGACAGCCTCAATATCCACTCCGCGAGCGATGGCCGTGAATGCTGGCGGTGGAACGGACGGCTGGAACAGCTCGAACATCAGCTCGGTCGCAGATTCGGCCAGAACCATCCCCGCGACGGACGGCTGCATGGGGTCAAAGAGTCCAGCAAACGCTCTGGCACAGATGGCCCCATACGAATGACTCAAAAGGATATACGGGGGGGCCACGCCGATCACGTCAAGTAACTCCCCCAACTCCCTGGCCGCGGTCTGAGCCGTCAACATTGTCCCCAAATGAATTCCAGTATCCCCTGGCCCGAGTTCGGAGTCGCCATAGCCGGCTCGATCGTGAAAGTAGACCCGATGGCGGACGGATAGGAGACGTTGCAGGCGCAGGTAGAGGGCACTGGGGGCGCCACCACCGGTAAAGAAGAGCACGACGGGGCTACCGGGATGACGCGGGGGGCCGCTGGTGGAGATAGATAGGCTGTGGGTCGAGATGCGCACCAGGGCGGATCGAGTGCTTGTTTCCCACGGATTTTGGGACAGGGTTCGAATAACCATGATGAAGGGTTCAGGACGTTATATCGTGATATCAGTGTCGGATCGCCGAGACGATCCGAAGAAACAAGCCACTGGCAAGGGGCCTCTACGAGCGGGGAAATTGTGCATGCATTGCTGAGTCAGACCGTTCATAGCCTGCATAGCCCAACTTACTAGGTCGTGCTATAGATCTAGAAAAACGGTAAATATATGAGCGTATCTGATACTCTAATGGAACAAGGAACTGGAACAGCAGACAATAAGACCAATACATAGACCGAACTATGGCACCTCCTACTGCACCAGACTTCACACCTCACCCCAAATTCCATACTCAGGCAGTGCACTTGGTGGCAGCGCTCACCCATCCAGTCAACCGGTTAGCAATATCAGAAGCGTAACAAGCCGTCGCCCCGGCTCCACTCAGATTACCAGAGGACGGGATAGACCAGGCACCCGAGTTGTACATTCTGGCCGCACGATAGAAGCCCGCGGCATTGTTCCGGGCAGACTTGTCGAGCAGCGAGGCGAGACCGTATCCATCAGCGTCTCTGGTTCCAATAGCTGGGGGGCATTAGCTGGGTGACTTAGAGAGACGTTCCCGATGAGAGAATCATACCTCCATCCTTGATCATCTGCACGATCTCCGTTTTGGGGCAAGGGTTCTTCACGCTGCCCCCGTTGTTGCAGGTCCCAGTGCCCTTGTAGCTTTGCATCAGGCCGGGGTTGCTGACACTGTACGTCGAGGTCGGGGCCCGCACGCAACCCTTGGACTCCTGCATCACCACCGCCAGGATGAAGCGGTGGTCAACTTTCGAGCTGGTCGCCACCTCCTGGATCGCATCGTACAACTCCTGGGTCTCAGTCGCGGAGTTGTCGGCCACTCCGAACTGGGCACAGGACTTGCCGATGGTGGCCTTGTTGGCACTCCACCTGTCAGTATTGTGTTAGCTGGCGATTACGGGGACTTTGCCGGCAAGGAATTGGGGGGATTGGCTTGCATGTTCTCGAAAGAGACCCTAGAGGAACGGTTAGAACGGGCACTTGCGCCGGGTGTTGAGGACAAACTTACCAGTCAGACTTGGCGGGCCAGCCGGCGCTGGTCGAGCCGTCCCCGGTATACATGGTGTAAGAGTCCTTGCCAGCTCCTTTGCCATCCTTGTTGTTGATGGAGGTAACTGCCAGCCCGCTAACAGTCACCGTTGCACTGGTAGACCGGGAGCTCAGACTATCGTCGCGCTCAGCGACTTCGAGGTTGCGGTCGCCCACCGGGGCTGCAGAAGCAATCCCAGCCAGTGAACCGGCTCCCACAATCTGGTGAGAAAGATTAGTACGGGTATAGGAAGATGGCCGGGTTCGCTTTTCCCACACTAAGAATCTGTGTCCAACGCATTTTCGAATGTAGTGCTCAAGGAGATTGAACAGAAAGTAAATCACGAATTGAAGAAAAGAATGAATGACAGTTCGAAGTGCTGCTGCTGCAAAGGAGTGTGATGAAACTACTCGATAGCTTCAGAAATGGTTGAGAAAGAATGGCTGAGTCGAAACCGGCTCGAGATTTTGGATCTGCTTGCTTGATGCCAGACATACTCAGCGACTAGACATTCAACCCTTTTATAGTGGGAAGTCCGGACAAAACTCATGATCACAAGTCAAAATGCCGAGATATCATTAGGAATGATGAAACATCATTGTTGGTTGGCAGGAACAACTAGACGGGCATTAGACCCCTTGGTGATAGCTTAGAATAAGGGAGTGGAGCAGTGATGGCCTTCAAAGACTCACGCTGGATTAATGTGATGTTACTAAAGGGTTCAGCGGGTCATGAACACCCTTAATCTCCGTGAAGGAGATATTAGAGCAACTCTAGGTCGTCGGACAATATCTCCCGAAAGACTTAGCATCCGCGCTTATTTAGAAAACAGATGTAACAAGTTTACTAACTCCCAACAGGGTGATCAGGGCCCAATTGCCACAATTTTCCATGACAGTAGTGTCAGAATGAGGTTGTGCAGCTAACAGCGACTTTTTACAGGTAACATGGAAAGTGCAATTCTGGAGTTGCGATGCGCGAGCTGAATATTTGAGATTGAAAGCACTCACGGAGTTCAGATTGGTGTAGGGTAGAAGGGGTCCAGTTTGACCTGAGAGGCCCAACTTCGTGGCCACACACATTGCCAGATGCCGGTTGCTCACGATGATAACTCTCTCAAGTGGACGAATCGGCTCCTCAAAGAGGTGTTCGTGACTTGAAGTAGTAAGCTATCGACGGGCAACAATGTAACATGGGCAAGCTAGTTTCTATTAGTTGGCAAGGTCTTCTTCGGTATGGGGTCCGTTTCAGGATGATAGGTCGACTAAAGAGCCCTAACCGCTCCCGCAATGGTATACAGAGGCGCAGCGTGGGGGCCATCGCGCAAACCACTCCCGATGTCATCTCCAACATTCGGGCCCTCTTGGCGTAAGAGCTAGTCCCTGGCTAAGAACGGGCCGAATCGAGGGCTATGGTTGCATTTGTTGGTCCCAGCCAGTCAGCTCCACCGCTAGCCCCAAAGCTCAATATCAAGTTGTGCTCCCATGTGGAGTTTGAGGTTGGTGCTGACTTGCCGGACCCTTGATGTGAGAAACGGCCCAGAATCTACCACCACACCCGAAGTTCCTGTTGCTCTTCTTTAATTCTCACTTTATCACTGACTTTTTTTAATTTGCGCCACCGAGATTCCGAGACCACAGAGTATTGTGGGAAGGGTACACATTCAGAGAAAGAAGGGTGGGGGAAGTCTGAAGAAGGTAGCACTCTGACCTGGGTTTTTTAGGCAAGCTTAGATCTTGGATCTTGGCATTGGAGCGCGGTTTGGAAGGACAGGCCTTCTAATGGTGTCTGCTATGTCTGCAAGACTTGGACGATCAGGTCCAGAAAGAGACGCAGGCGCTTGTGTTTACTCGCACGCTGCAGGTTTAGAAGGATCATCCACAATGACACTAGGTTGTCCGGGCCAGGAAACAATCTTGCCTTGTTAACTTCGCCGCATAAGAACCAAATGAACGACGTCTTTCACCGCAGTCCTGATTTACAAGTTTAAAGACACTCACCGATAATATACAAGCGTCAGGCTACCTCACACTCTGTCCAAACGGGTGCCATCAAACAGGCCCGAAGTCCAATTTCAGACGTTTCCTATATATCCTCGCAGACGTTGTGTACCTATTGCCCTTCCTCTACATTGCTCGCCTCTTCCGATCGAGCCAATATGCGGGCTCGAACGGGCAAACTCCACCAGAGTATGGCATTAGTAGACCCTTCCATCGAGCTGTCACTGCGGCGAATGCTAACCTTAGTATCCCATGCAGCGTTGAGACAGCCTCTCTCCACTATCTACAGTCCAATATATTGGCACACACAATACAGCGCACCAGGAAAAGCGTATTCAGAAAGTGATGATCTCTGGGACGCCATTCTCCCTTCCCATGGCTTTATTGCAGTTGACCGCCAATGGGCCGCCGTTCGGAATTGGCCGGACACTATGTCCATGCCTAACGACACCAGCAAGGGAATCTATCTGCTCGAGGCTTACCATCATTTACACTGCCTCGTAAGTAACTCATATAAGGTGGCGCGGAACAGAGAGTAAAGAGCCTTGATTTCAGCGGATCATGCGAACCACCTTCTGGGAAGCCGTGGAGAGGCGACCCTTCAGCCACGCAAGCGGTCTGGGGCATGTTGAGCATTGCTTTGATGCCCTGCGACAGGTATGATACCATTGAAAAGCAAACATGAGACTTGCTGACCACAGTATCTACCAGGCCATCCAGTGCTACGCAGACAATACTCCGCTCTACACCTTTGGGAAATTCACGGCTGGTGGTGGTCAAGTGCATCAATGCAGAAATTGGAATGAACTTCGCGACTTTGCCACCAGCCATACCGCTTGCTATCGAGATAGTGTCGAGCCGATTCCCCTGGGAGCTCATTTTGGTTTCTGTGACGACGGCGGTGACGGGTTGGAAGAAGGTGCAGATCCGATGTAACGAGATCCGTGATCCTCAAAAGCAAACAACACTTGTCTGCGATATCTCTCAGTCAGGAATATTTCACATGAGTAACGCATCGACGACCAAGAGAATGACGCACGTACGCTTGTATTCCGGTAGTCTTCATTATTGACAAAGATATCATACTGAAAGATTTCTTTCCAATAGAAGCCTGGGGTCTGCGTCTTTGTTCAGCCACTCCGTGGTAACCTGTTATATAAACGGGCTTGAGTTTCAAGACCTTCGAGGTCCAACGAGTCTTGGAATTTACTCGCAAGTCATCCACCATATTGGGGCTGGAAACACCGAAATCTTGATATCTGATACTGTATTCGCGATGGCTGACGAGTCTCCCGAGCTTACCCCCGAGGTCTTTGAGGCCCGAGCAGACTTGTGTGTTCAGTTGACCCACCGGTTTATAGAGCTCAGCCGCGAGGTCTACAGACCGGATATCCGAGATTCGCCGATCACACACCGGTTGGGCCTAGTCGATTTCGATCTTCTCCGATTCCTGGGGCTATGTGTGTACGTTATGAGGCAATCTCGCAACATGGGTCACCGGCCCAGCCACCTCTTCCTCGCCCAGATCGAGGTGGTGTCAGTGAGCTGGGCTCGGTATAGTCGGATGTATGATGAGATGTGTGCTGGGCGACTACGGGATGTTGCAGACACCGACAGCTGGGTCGCCGAGTTCGGGTCCGAGATCCTGCCTGCGCTGATGAGAGAGCGGCTTCCGGGCTGTTTTTCCTCTCGACTGGTCACCCTGCAGGATGCCACTGTCCAGCGCATTGTCCGCGGAATTGTGCAGCAGTACCTCGGCGCGGAGGCAGCAGACCGGATGGGGATTGATAATCTCCCCACGGGGCCTCGCTCGAGCCAAGGAAGTGAAACGTGCCTGATCTGCCAGCAGCCGCTCGAGGAGACCCAAGGAGTGCCTCTCGAGTGGTGCAGGATCCAGTGTGGCTACGCCTTCCACTCCCAATGCGTGATAGAATGGTTCACAACCCCGCATTCAGCGCACTCTGCGCCCAGATGTCCACACTGTCGCCAGCTGTGGCTGGCTCCCATGATTGGTCTCCTTGGAAGTGTCTGGCGAGAAGATCTGGCGCTGGCATTATTTATTCTTTCTCTATCAAGTATAGAATAGAGACATATTTTTCATGTGGGCGTTTCCTTAACCCATTTAATACAAACGTAATTGAAATTCAAATCGAACCTCCTTGAAACTAGTACTTGAAACTAGTAAGAACATAAGTACTTTTCTCAACCTCACCAGAAAGAACGCTTAGTACCTGTAACAAAGCTGACCATGCTCGGTGTCAATGAAAGGAGCCACCCAAGCATCTGATCCAAGCCCTCCATGCAAAGCCGTTCATTGAGACGGGCAGAAAGTGACTCAGGGAGTGTCTGCTGCCACGCCCACCATAATCGGTCCAGCTGAGAGTGATGGAGGAAGAAGACGGGGTCCAACTGTCTGTGCCTTGTCCATGTTACCAGCGGTTTCCGAAACGGGAAACTATTGACAATTAAGACAAACAAAACAGCGGTAAGAATAGACTAGTAGGGCAAACAGAATGAGGACAAACAAAGCTGCAGAGGCAGTGATCGTCCCAAAGTCATCGTACACCGTACGCGGGATACTCAGATGCAGTCCATCCTTCAGGGTCAGAACAAAGTCCAACTCGTCTTTGATCAGCAGCAACTGCTCGTTGGAGGAAGAACTTTTGATATTCCCCTGGTCTCTCAAGCCCCTGTCCTAGGCAAAGTAACGCGACAGGCAGTGTGGGGAAGTATATTGGTTGGCGAAAAGAACTTGGAGACCAGGGAAGAAACCGGAGGGGACACACGATCCGTGGATAGTTTTGGGGTCATCGTTAGGATTCAAGCTCGGGCTGGAGCCCTACCTGAAGCCGTATGCCGTCGCCTCCAAGCCTGCACTGCTGATCTCACACGGGATTGGCAGTTCCTTTCGCCAAAACCAGACTCCAGACCCAGTACACTGCATGGCCCGTGTAGCCATAAACATCGCGGAGTGCTTGCTCATTAATGGGTCAAACAGCGGTGCTGGGCTAGAATTTCGATGGTGTGGTGTTCTGGTCAGTCACTGGTCAGCCTGGATTGTCCTAGTGGGTATGTCACAGCAGGCAACCGTTGCCTACATGAGTTCACCGCGTGAATGTGTACCTAGGGAAAATCATGGTAGAGGGTATGTCAATGTGCAGGTTGAGAGAGACGGTTGATCTTTCAGGCATCTCACAGCTCCGCGCGTCTGCAATGTCCACGTTTGCCAACGGCCACCAAAATGCACCGTCCTTCCTGGTACCAGGGTACGATTGGGGTAAACTCGGGCAAGGGACAGTCGTAATTAGCGGATCGAAGGGCAATGTCAGCAGTCTGATAGCCCAGGACTACCCTGAGCTCTAGTTCATCGTCTAGGACCTGCCGAGTATGATCGACGGCGCAGCGGAGAGTCTGCCAAATGAGGTGCGGGACAGAATATCATTTCAGGCGCACGACTTCTTCACACCGCAACCCGTGCAGGCCGATGCGTATCTGTTCCGGAACATCTTCCACAACTGGTCGGACTCGCATGGCGTCCGGATCCTTCAGGCGCTGATTCCTGCCTTGCGGCCCGGAGCTCGGATTATTGTGAACGACTACCTGCTCCCTGAGCCAGGGTTACTGTCCCTGGTTAAGGAGCGTGCTGTCCGGTATGTACATACCTTCTGTTCCTAGTCCGATAGGGACGGAATCGCTCATACGATTACCCAGGGACATGGACATGATCATGTTTACACATTTCAACTCCAGGGAGCGAGAAGAGGCGGACTGGGTTGAATTGTTCCGGAAGGCTGATTCTCGCTTTGCCAATTTACGTATTTGGACGCCGGAGGGAGCATCGATGGCTATTATTGAGGCCGTGTGGGAGGCATGAAGAACTACATAGGTGCAATAGTTTGTCGTATGTATTTGTCAAGTTTCAGTCAATAACTATGCCATATATAGGAGTTCCATTGATTGTTTAAGTTCTCCCGTCGCCTTCCAGAGCCCAGCAATGACTCTGGATCAAGAGCACAGCGGGCGTTTAATAGCCGTCTCCGATCGCGAAAAAGTCGACTGTATCAGCGGTCTCGATGTCTCGTTCGGTGCCTATATTTCACACGTTAGGGAAATCAGCATTTCAGTAGCTCTTGCTGTCAATTGCCCACCAAAGGGTGCATGTGCTAAATACCCAGCGCCTATCCGCATTGACACGAATCATTGACCTTGACCGTCAGTCACCCTTTTCGTCATGCCCGAGGGAAACCAACCATCAAACCACTCATCTGGCACAGTGCATATGCTGTGTCACAACGATGTAGATCAGCAGTCCCATTGTCAATTGTTGGTTCTCAAGGACAGGCAAACAAACTGTAGTCCTTGCACTTGTCGCAGGCACAGCCCGTCGCCCCCGTTTTGAAAACCCCCTCCGGTCATTTACTGTCCCTCATCTTCCAATTCTAAGCAATCACGACGAGAGTACTAATATGTGGCACTCGCAACTCCTTTCACAAATGACGTCTCATCCCATCAGACGCGAGACGCAGCTTCTTTTTTTTTTCTTTTCTTCTTTTTTGGTAAGACAGGATGACTTACGTCAATGCGCACAGCGTGCTTGGAGTGGGCAATCTGTTCATAGTAATGGGCACGTTGGCCATTACCGCTCGCTTTCATATTCAATGCAGGAGTAAAAGACTGGGAGTCGACGTTTGGCTTGCACTGGCAGCATGGGTACGCTATCTACTCCCTCGAAAATGGACTTAGGCCACCTAGGCCACCTCACTGACCCTTCTTCGTCGTGTACGGCAGGTCCTCGTCACAGGAGAAGCCGTCATCATGATAATTGGTAGGCACCTGCTCCCTCCAAAAAGTAACAATGAATGAAGCTGATCGTACATGTTTAAGCGCCGTAACGCACACGGTGGGCGCCCACTCCCCTGTCGACATCGGCGCAGCCATCCTGTATTACGACGGATGGGACCAGATCTTGTTGGAAAAAGTAGTATTCACCTTTCCTTCAGCTTCAATCTCCCACTTACACGTCGCCTTCCCTTGCAGTTGGAATTTCCATTCGACATCATGCAGCCCCTTGCCCTAGCTTTGCTCAGGCTGTTTGTCCTATTCTTCTACCGGCGACTTTTCGTGGGACGAATCTTTGACATCGCCAGCTGGACACTGATTGGCGTTGTAATCGCCTGGGGCGTCACATTTGTGATTGCGCTGATGAAAACGTGTGGGGCGAGCATCACGGCCAATTTCGGCACTCTAAACGACCTCATGACCAGTTGTGGTCATAGCTTTGCCGTTCTGATTGCGCTGTCGGCATCAGACGTGGCCGTCGATCTCATCGTCTTAACCATTCCACTGCCGCTGGTGAGCTTTTCTGCACCTATACTGGGTTACGACTCCACCAAACAAGATGTTTCTGACCGCATCAGGTTCTGTCTCTCCACCTCAACTTGCACAAGCGCATTGGGATTATAGTGGTGCTGCTTGTAGGGTCAATGTGTGCGACCCTCATCTCCTCATTCACTCTGTGCTAGTCGGCTAAACTACGATCCCAGGGCGACGGCGTGTGGCATCGCGCGCATGTCACTATTCGCCAGGATTCTCGGACCCAAATGTATACTTTCCATCACCACTGTCTCCCTAGCAACGCTTTCTGGTTCCCATACTAATCAAATGCTCGCAGTGCTCTCCACTCAAACCGTAGGCGGCGTATCCTCAACCGATGACATTGGTGAGTCTACTGCATACGCTTCATCTCAGCCCTTATCCCTGCCTCAGACAACAGACGCAGCGCTGATCCAGAAGCCATAGGCATTGTCAGCATCCTCATGTTCTGTGGGATGCTCGAAACCGGGGTGGCGATCGTGGCGATCTGCCTCCCCATCCTGTACCGGATCGTGCGCGACGTCTCTCACAGTGCTCGGCTGCACAACCTGCTCACGTTCCGACAGCTGCGAGGGTCGAAAAACGACGATAGCTCGTCTCTACAGGGTGCCAAGGTGGGTCCAGAGGCAGGTTCCACACCTCGCAGATTCCGCGGAGTTGGTTCCCTCCTGAAGTGTGGTGGTTGGTGGGAAGAAAAGTCGCACGGAGAGGGCAACGGACCTGGAAAGAAACCTAAGGGGATGGCAAGTGATAGCAGCGCAGAGATGAAATTATCTTTGAGTTTGATAAGAGAGCGAGGGACTGAGGAGCCGCAGTCTGGGAACGAGTCCACCGTCGCTCTCCCGAAGTTGATGCATCGCGTCGTCACGGCTGATGTGGTGCTCAATGCGCAGCAGCATTCACCGAGGAGCCAGATCTGGGAGATGAAAGAGATTCAACGTACGGTTGAGGTGGTCTGAGCCCAAGAACGGGGGTAAATTTACAATCTACCCTGTACTCCCTTACCCGAATCACACGACGTAAGCTTCCTGGGTCACAATTATATGAAATTATTCTACTAAAGAATGGATAGTTTTGTTTTTCCTCGCGGGTCAATCTCCGCGAGATTGAAGAGACCTTGTTCAAAGCCAAGCCTAGCCTCTACCGAAAGCTTCGTCCATCTGACTCCCCCTCGTGCACAAAGTACTCGCGCGTGACGGCAATTCCGGCACCATTCTCCAACGACAACGGCAAGGCTCCATGATCCTTGACCAAGCCGTCCTCGGAATCATGCCGGGACAGATCGTCCGGGGTGTTGGCCGTCTGCGTCACCGAGACAGTGGTCCGCTGTTTGCTCGTGGGGCCGCCGGTGGTGTTGTACCCCGAGTTGGACAGCTCGTAGCCGCGCCGGCCGCTGTAAGTCCCGGTGCGCGAGTGGCTCCCAAAAACCAAGGTGCGGAGGACAGGAAGGCAGGAAGCGATGATGGCGATGGAGGCCTCGATCATGGAGACGGTGCAGGTGATCATTTGTTCGTTAAGATGGGAGTAGATGGCTCGGATGACTGCAACGCTCGTTAGACATGGCACTGTGCACTGCTTGTTGAGCTGATGGTACAACTTACTACTCGAGATAACAACCAAGACACCCAGCAAGAAGACGGAGATGACACCCCACTTTTGCTTCTTGGGCATCTTCAGGCGGGCGACCTGCGAGATGGGGAGACAGATGACTGTTCATGGGGTTAGAATCAAAGCGGTGGCTCATAGTTGAATTGTGGTATCTTACTGAAGACATCAGTGAAGATGTTGACTGCGACATGGTTAGCATTCCAGCAATTGCAAATCGGACACGGGGCTGCATACAAAGAATCGTCAACCAGTAGTTGATCGTCGATGGCTTGTCTGGGCACGCCACTGCATTCCAGTCCCATTAGTACTGCTGGTATTTATGACATCTCCACCGCATTCGCATCCACTTACATTCCGCATCAACCACGCTCCGCCATTGTCGGGAAGGAGGATAGCACTTGAAGACGATATCGAAGAACAGGACCAACCAGGTCGCCGCCAAAACGGCCAGAGTGATGTTGTACACGGTCTGGTACCGGGTGCGATCGGCGAGACGCTTGTAGAAGATTACCAGGCTGGCCTTGATGAGCCAGAGCGTTGTCACATAGAGGGTGGATCCGGGGATGATCATCTGTCACAGAGCGATCGATAGTGGCCGCAGTTAGTCTCAGCGTAGTGGGTGTGTAGAGGATTCGCGCGGGCTGCAGGCCTCGGATCGGGGCAGGGCACAGAGAAAGAGGGGCTCAGGATTCGGGCGTTGTCCGATTGCTGTCTGTAAACTGACCTTCATCATGTTGATCATCTGATCTGAGTCCATGTTGGCCGCATCCGACATGCCTAGAGGAGTCCATCGTTAGATCTCTCTCGCACGGATCACTCTGCATGGAGGTGGATTTGGACAGCGGGGGAAGCAGCGATAGGCAGTACATACCCAGGTTAAACATATAATGCTGGATGACCAGATCTCCGATCAGGCAGAGCGCCGCAACCGTGACGAACAAGTCGTCGAGATACAGCCGTTTCAACAACCGCCATCGCACCCAGAGTCGACAGACGAGAAAGATGCACGCGATGATGGTGACAATGTACCACGACACCTGCCCACCGCGAAGTAGTGCGTTAGCAAGAGAATACCGCTCCGAACAATCTCTGATGACAACGACCTACCACTTGGCCGGTATCTGGACGACCCATGGCGACGAACAACCTACGATGCGGGCAGAAAGTCACGACAACAAAGACAGACGGAGACCAGAAGGCATCTCTGCAGCAGCTGCAGCTGCTGGCAGTCAATATTAATAAACCGTGATCGACCCGTGCAGCCTGCCAGGGAGCGTTCGTTACGTGGTGAGGATTTTGGGAAAACCTTATCCCATGCTGGAAAGCTCGTTCTGGCGGTATGTTTGGAGGAACCAGCAAATCCACGAGTTTGGATCGGGGAAGGCCCGCAGGGACCTCCCTCTGGAATCTGGATCTTGATTCAATGGTGTGCGGTTGTGTGTGCCTGTCTGTGTGGTTTTTGCGTGGTGTGGCCACTGCTTAGGGGGGGATGATGGGGTGGTGTGGTGGGCGGACCAGCACTGGAGGGGAGTATGGCCCGAGGCATTGGGACCCTCGTGGACCATACCATCTCGATAACCCTGCGTGACGGGGAATCGGAGATCGGGGTAGCAGAAGGAAATCGATAGTCTCTCCGAATTTTGGTGGAACTGGCCGTGATTGCTCCAGGCAAAACTTCGGCGGCCCACAGTTAGGGTTGCGGATCCACCCAAGTGAAACATTCTTCGGACATCGTCCGTCTCCCCTGCAAAACACCTTTCTGCATGCTGCACGACATGGTACGCCATGTGCGAACTATTGATTTCTAGAATCCACTAACCAGTTCACACCGTTACACTGGGATCAACCGGATGCAGCCAGCTGTGCGTTGGAAAGATCACAGGTCGGGATGGAAGGGTAAGCTTTGTACGGATCAAACTCTATCGGCGATTTGGACGCATTCGGATTATGGAGTGACGATGATTCACGTAGATTAAAAATTGCTACTCAGGCTTCATCATGCAATGAGCCCGCTGACAAATCCCACAATAGGAAGCGAAAGTCTAATAACAAGAAAAAAAAATTGATTAATAAAATCTGAAGCCGAATGAAATGTCGAGGTTCGCTATGCTGCGCTGAACAGACTTCCCCCCCCCCTTATTTTCGATTCTTCTCCTGCGCGCCTCCCCACTTAAGAGCTGGCCGCAGCCAACTCCACGGGATTCTGGACAACCGGGTAGTTGGGGTAGTTTGGCTTGTAGACCTTCTGGCAGCGCTGGTTGTAGGTGCCAGTCTCTCCGGTCTCGATGGCCTCCTCGTTACCCGGCACACCCAACAGGGCCAGAGGTCCGTTCACCGGCGTGGCTTGATCCCAACCGGGGCCAGCGCTGGGGTCCTTGATCCAGGCAACAAACCAGTCGTTCATGTAGTCGGCCAGGTCCTGCTCAGCAGCCGTGACTCCGGTCAGCTTGGCGAAACACTCGTTGCCACCGTGGAAGAAGGGGACCTCGCTGCCGTGGGAGGGGCCGATGTCGGCGATACCCAGGACGTTGGAGTAGTTGCCGAACCAGCGGTAGATCCAGGTGTTCTGCTCCTCCGAGCGCATGTCCAGGAAGTAGTCGGTCGCGCAGTGGAAGCGGGCATCGCCATACGAGGCACCGCTCATCCGGGAGATGGAGGAATAGTCATCGGGGTTGTAGGCCTCCAGCAGCTCATCGGCGGGCACAAACGCCAAGTCGGCATCGTAGGTGCGGATCCACGAGGAGAAGTTCGTGTTCTCCGACCCATAGACAATGCCGAAAAGCTTGCCCTCCTTGTCCGAGTTACCGACGATCAGCGGCAACGACTTGGGGTAGTGGCCGTTGGCGAAACGGTCCGAGTAGTTGGAAAAGCGGGTGAGGTTATCCACGACGGGGCCAAACCACGTGTTGGAGGTCGAGTTGAAGTAGCTGGTCTGGAAGGCATAGGTATCCACCTTGCGCAGGCAGTCTAGAGTGTAGTCGTCGGCAGTGCAGTCCAGGGAGACACCCGCATCGATCATGTCCTGGACGACCTGCTTGAGGGCGACACCCACGGGCGCATTGGCCGGGCCAGACTGAGCGTTGGCCGACATCTCAATGGCACCCGCCAGGAAGGTGTCGGGGTGGTTCCAAAGGTAGTCATCGACGTGGACACCACCGGAGGAGTGACCACCCAACACAATGCGCGACTTGTCACCACCGAAGGCTATTCAAAGCAAAGTCAGTGGGGATGGTTACCACGTGGCAGAGAGGGGGAACTGAGGGATGTTAAGCATTAGGAGAAAAAGTCAAAGTACGGACCTTCGATGTTGTCATAAATCCACTGCAGCGCGAGCTCCACATCCAGGATGCTAAAGTTCTGCGACTCGCCTTCAAGCTCGGGAGCATAGGGAGAGGCATACATGCTCTCACGGTAGTTGAAGTTGACGTAGATGACATCCTTGCGAGCAAAGTTCCATCCCTGCCATTGCTGGTTGCTGCTACCACCCGTGACCATAGCACCACCGTAGATGTAGACAAAGACGGGCAGGCCAGTGCCACTGGGGGGGGTCCAGATGTTCAGGTTGAGGCAATCCTCACTCTGGGCAACGATCGTCGTGCCGGACATGGCCTGGGCGCACGAGGGACCAAAGGCCGAGGCATCGAAGCTACCCCCCTCATAGGCGGTGGCAGCCAGGGGCGCCTTCCACCGGTTCTCACCCGCGGTGGTCTGGGCGAAGGGAATGCCCAGATAGACATTGGTGTCGTTCTGGGAGAAACCATAGACCACACCCTGCTCGGTGGTGACGCTGGGAGAGGCCTCAGCGGCACAACCCAGGGCCAAGGCGGTGGCACTCAGACTCAAGGCCAAATTGGCACTCTTTTGCAGAAGACCCATGATGACGGTGGCAAAGATCAGTCAATTGATCTGCAAACAATCTGAACTGTGCTTGGTCAGGAGGAAAAAGTGCTCAAGACTGGGCCCGTGGGAAGAGTATTTAAGGAGTTTTGGGGCCAGGGGGAGAATGCTCGCCAGACGGCACACCGGATCGACTGCCGAGCCAGCCCGATCCAGGCTACCAAATTAGCTGGTGAAAGAACTTAGTCTCGTTTACACTTCTTCTCGATGAACTCGATGAACGCTAAAGTACGACCCAGACCATGGTTACACCGTCTGTTGCTTCACCTGCGCTAAGACAAGACCAATGACTCCCCCTCAAGTGGGGGTTCCCACATGGCACCACACGTGGTGCAATGAGCTTGGCTTTCGACTATCGATTTTTCGAGTCAGTCCCCCATCGGAAAACCAGGCAGCATGTACGCCTCTACGATATCACCTCGTCGTGGTGGCTGTTTTGCTGCACTCTGACTGCTGGGTTCGGAGTCTCTTCGCGAGAGGATCCTCTCTTGGAGCAGGAAATGGTCGAAACGAGGCAGACACCGGGCAATCCGTTGGGATTCCTGACTAGTCGACGACTGATTTTACCTAATTGAATGTGCTATAGATGTGCTATCTGGGTGGTATCTGAAGGATTGAGTGGTAGGATCTGCTGCTGATCGTCTACCTCGTCATATTCGGATGATCTGCCGAGATCTGGCTGCCCACGTGGGAGTTGAACGCTAGCCAAGACTGACTCACTAGCAGTAGACTATGTGATTTGCTTGGACAATGATGGTTCTCCTTGGTACATTCTCCGACTAATACTATCAGCTGGATTGATTTTGAGTCGGATAGGGGCGTTTGGGGAGGGTAGGCAATTGCCTGGTCGACCGGACGAGTATCCGGCTTCATCCACGGTCGCAGCCAGCGGCTAGCTGCTGCTGCATCTCGGACGCCCTCGCAGAGTCTCAATTGATCGATGTAGTTGCTTCCGGTCCAAATTATTGCACAATTGGACATGGTATTTCAGCGTCATTGATCAAATTAGATAAAAGTAGAAGACAGTATTCTGTGCTTGAAATATATCTTGGTGAGCCATTCGGAATCTTCGGGTGGCAGATACATATTTCTACGAGGCCTTGCCCTAACCACCCGATGCGAGTACACATAATTTGAGGATCTGACACTATTTACCATTGAAAACAATACTGAGAATGCGATCTAAGAAATGACACAACTGTCTTGAGCCATAGGATGTAGTCTGCAATTGAGAATCGCTATGAAGCATACAACATCGGGGGTGGGAATGTCAAGTCCTCCAGAACGTGCGAGTTGCTATATATTGCTACACTCGAATACCATCTCAGCACGCTACAAACATGCCAAGAGCCAGGGGATTCGAACTTCGATCCCGGGCATTGATACGATTTTCACCCTCGAAATGCGACCGAGTCGAAGTTGCATCATCCCAGGCAATGAACCAGGGAACCAGCAGTTGGCCGCCCGAGGAGGAGATATCCACGGATGTCCACGGATGTACGGAGTAGTTAGTTATGCTATGCAGCTTACGCAGCATAAGTGGGGAATTACTTCGAGACGAGACCCAGTCCAGTCCCTTATTTCCCTACAACTCAAAATCACATAACTAACTTACAGCATGACTTGGGATACAATTGATGGCCGCTCAACCTGCGTTCATCGCATCCCAAATACCATGTCGAATGCTCTTCTCACTCCCACAGAATTCACCCACGATGTCAAACTGTCATATTAATCTAAATTAATTAACAACCCGGGGATCCAATCCACTGCCCGCCGCCACAACCAAGACAACTCCTTGGCGAACGCCTCCCACCTCGCAGCAGGCAAATTTACCCGCGTGATGATAGAAACCTTGGGTGAGACGTACGGGAGAGGCGGATGGCTGTGAGGCTGATTAGCCGGGTCCATCACCTGGTTCCGACGCGGTTTCAGGTGTTGAATTCTGTAACACTGGTCATCGCAGACATCGCCCAAAAGCCACCTAGTTGATCATCACATCGGGGGTATAGATAGGTACTTCAACAATGACAGAACTAAGGCAGGCTCACTCAACTTGAGACTGCCAATCGTGCTGCTCAGACGGTGCCATGACTGTATGTTCGCTTTGTTTTGTGGTCATGGAAGTTAGGGCACGGTTCTTTCAGTACCATCTCATAGAAGAAGAACAAAGACATTCCTAAGCAAGGTGATGAAACATCTCAGCAAGTTACATGTCGGTCCACGTAAAAGCTAGAACTTGATGAACATCTTCGTTCACTTCATCCCTAGAACATGCCTCTATGACATCCAACGTGGGATCTATAAATAGACTATAACCTGCGCATCCATCCAAATCTGCCCATTTAGAGCCATATTGGTCCCTCAACCCTGACACAGAAGAAGACCCCAAGTGCTTTTCCACCATAAATTCCACTGTACCAGCAATCATGGCCAGCATTGCAGACTCCGACTCGACGGCCGTCATGTCCGAGGGAGGCGCCATCGAGTGGGATCGCGTACGAGGGATCCGCGACACCACGCGGGCCCTCCTCGAAGCCGAGTCGCCGTATATTGCCATTCCCGCAGCCGCCCAAGTCCTCCAGATCGGACCACGCAGCCTGATCGTGCGGGTGAAATGGCAGTGGGCGCTCCGCGATCCCACTCGGGAGGAAGTCGGGGGGTTGGTCAGCACGCTGTGCGGACAATTCGCCCAGTTGCGGGCCCAGCGTCCTACGGCGGGGCCATTCCATGGCTTCATTCAAATTGGGTCCGTCGTCGTCCTCTACACGGAGGTGCGGTTCATCCCCGCCCCGTGTCAGGGGGCGATGTGTATGCCCGGAGAAACGCTCTCGGGCCAGACCCGGAGCTATCATGTCGAGGAGGATAGCCCAATCCTGCAGCACTGGCTCAAAAATGAGGTAATGCGCGGCGCTCCGAGCCATCAGGAGTTGGTGGCTTGGGGACTACCTGACTATGGACGGGTCTTTCGGAATGCGTAGGCTTTCTATACCTGTAAAGTTATGTTGTATAAGATAGGGTTTATTAGTGCAGGTGGTTTTATTCAAGTAATCTAACTATCGTCCATTTCCCCCAGTACGTGGTGAATGCAACTCGACTCGCTCAGTTGCCAGTTCCAGGATGCAAATAATCGGCGGTCGGATTGGCATGATGCTCAATTATTCTCCACGTTATTCTGAGCCGTTATTCTCCAGAGAATCTTAGCCCTAGCCGGAGTGATAATCAATCCAACAAAGATGTATGGCCTTCTGCATTGATCTCTGCTGGTACAAGTAACCTTTTCCGTCAGCTATTGATCTCTCGTACAATAGGTTGCGAGCTTGGCGAGTTTGTAGGAGGCGCATGATGATCAGGCTTGACAATCATTCCTCAGTTCCAAGATATGCTCATAGACACCAAAGACTGCACAAAATGCGGTGAGGGCGTCGCACCCTGGAGTATGACGCGTGATGCATGCGCGACACGTAGGATTCGTCCCAAGCACCCTGCATGGGACAACAAACAAGGAACATCAAGGACACGTCAGGAACCTTAAATTTGGGCTCGAGATACTTAAAAAAGAGATCTCCAAGTGTCCTTTTTCTACCTCCTCTTGTCATGAACCGCAAACCTAGCCTCGCTATTGCTTGTATTCTCCCAGCATGACAATCACGGCGGACTCACTTTTCGATGAGGTAGGAGCGAGCTATGAAGCTGCCTTTGCAGACAATGCGCCGCTTTGTGCCTTCATCGATCAGGCCAGCAAGAAGTTAGCCCCCAACAGTCGGGTGCTGGATGTTGGATGCGGCACCGGCAAGCCCGTCGCGGAGATCCTAGCAACCGCAAGCCATCAGGTGCATGGAATCGACATCTCCCCAGGTATGGTCAAGATTGCCACGTCGCAAGTCCGGGGTCAGTTTGAAGTGGCCAACATGAACACCTTCCACCCTTGCCAGTCCTATGATGGTGTCTTTGCAATTCTGTCGCTGTTCCAGCTCACTCCGGGAGAGCTGTACTCGATGATCTTCAAATTTGCCGAGTGGCTCAACTTGGGTGGGCGCTTGGCCCTCGCGGTGACGCCCAGCACCGGACTGTTGCCGGACAAATGCACCTACGATCCCACCTGGAATTGTGTGAGGATGCTCGGAAAGTACTGGATGGGAAACTACACCAACGAGGTCTTCCATTCGGAAGATGGATGGGCTCGCCTGCTGCAAGCGGCCGGTATGGTACTCGAAATGGAGCCCGTTGACCACATCTTTTGCCCGACTGGCAACCGGGAATACACGCATCCTGAGGCTCAGCACTTCGTGCTCGCAAGGAAGGTTGAGCCGCAGCCTTTGCTGGGCCCGTATCCAGTTCCAATTGCTGAAATGCCTTCAGACTGTGTCGACCATCTTGATATTTTCACCGATCGCTTCGTGAGCGAAGACATCAAGAGCCTCTGCAATGAGGTCGCAGTGGATGGAAAGAAGATGCTTGTCCTCGGGCAAGACAGTTGGAGTCAGTATGCAGGCTGTGAGGAATTTCAGTCCCTGCCAGACATCACCGATAACCTCCCATATGCACCTGACACGTTCGATGTCATCGTTGCGCCCTGGACACTCGATAAGCTTCCCTTCCTCAGACAGGCCGTCGAGGAGATGGTCCACGTGGCACGTCGGAAGAACTCACAACTTGTCATCCTCCAGGGAGCTCCTGGAAATGAGGCGGTGATGGTCCTGAACGCGGCCGCGCGCTCACCTCGAATCCGCCACCAAGGCCAGATTCTGCAGGAAGCAGCGCACCTGTTGACAACACAGGGGTTCGGGCACATCTCTCTAAAGCGTGTTCGTGCACACTATGCATTCCCCGAAGAGGACTTGCCAACCCGATGCTCGGTGGCTGCGGAATGTTTGGCCGCGATCACACATCGACAGCATCCGAACTATGAGGTCATCAAGCACATCCTGACTGCGCGGCTGAAGCTTCATTTCCAGGGCAGCACACACGCGGTGGGAATGGACATGGTTGCCTTGATTGCGAGGTCGAACGATGCGGAGAATTGACCGCTCGAGTTGATGAACAGTAAAGTGAATATATACTCACATACTCATGTACCGAGAGATCTTCTCGTATCTTCGTTGAGCTCATGTTCAAATTATGACTAAAGTTCTCCTCCTCGGGTACAACAAATGGGAATAAGATTATATGAGTACGGGGTATCATGCTCAGCCCCTAGTGGTGGCCCGTTAGGACAGACGCTCTGACCCAGTTGCTCACCCGTCTTTCCTGCGATTTTCGAGTGGAATATTACCTAGAACGTGGCCATGGGACAGCAGAAGTGAGGAGCATGAAGAGGGGAAGTAGAAAGCAAGGGGTATAGTACCAGGTTTATAGGGCTGTGATCGGGGGTGTTTCCCGAACCAGCCCTAGTTTCGGGGTCTTCACATTAACCCTGGCCTGCAATTGAATCAACAAGTGAGCTCCCCGCGGTTTCATCCCGTATCTCCACTAGATCAATACTCCTAATGCATGTCGAAGCTGGGTGATTGGGTGGTGCTGGTGTAAATCAATGAGCCTTATCGCGCAAAGATCACGCCAACATGTCGTGATGCACCAAGGCTTGGCCTGAGCTGCCACTGATAAATCTATAACCCCGCAACATCGTCACCTCCCAACAACACCACGGGCACGGCCAAAATATCCAGACAGAAACATGGCGGACCACGGTTCAACATCGAGTGCTACAAAGCAGCCTGACACCAAGATAAGTCAGGCTGTGGACTCCAGCCCACCACCGCGCCGCACGTTCCGCTCCTTCATCTGGGACACAGATACGCATCTGAAAACCCCCGAGGAGCGACGCTTGCTCCTCAAACTCGACGCAGCCATCCTCAGCATCGGATGCCTGGGTTTCTTCATGAAATACCTTGACCAAGGGAACCTGGCCAACGCCTACGTCTCGGGGATGCAGGAAGAACTCGGCATGTATGGCAACCAGTACACTTACGCCGGAACCCTGTACACGATCGCGTATGCCGTGATGCAGATCCCCAGTACACTCATCATTCAACGCGTGCGCCCGAGTGTCTGGCTCGCTGGGATGGAAGTCGCCTGGGGCGCGTTCACCTTCGCTCAGGCAGGGGTCCGGACCGTCCCTCAGTTATATGTGTTCCGGTTCCTGATCGGCCTCTTCGAGAGTTCCTTCTTCCCGTCTCTGTTGTACCTGCTGGGCAGCTGGTATACCAAGACCGAGCTCGCGAAACGCGTGGCACTTTTCCACATGACTGCGCCCCTGGGCACCGCGTTCGGGGGGTACCTTCAGGCGGCCGTGTATGAGAACCTCAATGGGGCGAGGGGGATCGACGGCTGGCGCTGGTTGTACCTTGTCTGTGGGTGCATGACCGTTCCTGTGGGTCTGGCGACGTTTCTGTTCCTTCCTGACACACCGTATACCACGCGGGTGTGGTTTCTATCGGAGGAGGAGCGCGAGCTAGCCAAAGCGCGCGTCAGCAGGGCGGGCGTCGCGCCGCCGGTGAAAATTACTTGGAAGACGTTCACAGGCGTGTTGAACTCGTGGAAGTGGTATGCTTTTGTCATTGGTTATGTGGTGTGTACTCGGCTCTTGTTCTCGGTAGCAAATGAGATGGTGAATTCATGCTAACATGTCACAGATGTACGGCTCCTCCTGCGGCGGCAACGGCTACTTCGCCATCTGGCTCAAGTCAGAGAACTTCTCTGTGGCTGATCGCAACCTCATTCCGACGGGGACTTCGTTGATCTCCGCCGCGTGTGTGGTGCTGTGGGGGTTTCTGTCCGATTATACCGGAAGCCGGTTTGCTTGGGTGCTTATCCCGCTGGTGAGTGGACAGCCTTGTCCATCAAGTGGGTTAGCCCGTGCACGGTGCTGATGAGAGCCGGATATAAACAACAGATATGGGGCCTCATCCCCAACGGTATCCTGGCCGTCTGGCCCCACAGTCTCGCACTGAAGGAATTCGCCTTCCTGACCATCGGGATGCAGCTCATGACCGCAGTATTGTAAGTTGTCCGAGAATTTGGCACCTTCCACTAGGATACTGACGGTCCAGCTACTCATGGGCCAACGAAGTATGCGCGGACAACAACGAGCAGCGCGCGGTGGTGATCAGCAGTATGAATGGCTTTCAGTACGCGGTCGCTGCCTGGCTGCCGATTGTCATCTTTCCGCAGACCATGGCCCCGTCGTTTCGTGAGTGTTTCTCGATCATCTCGGGATTTGTCCTAGATCTAATCGTGTTGTGTTGGCTAGGGTACGGCTTCCCGGCCACGTTTGGGTTGGTGATAGCGGCCATCATTAGTGTGGTGGTAATACAGCTGTTTGTTTGGCGGAATGAGCGGAGGGCGAAAGCACGTCTGGCGAGTCTGGGATCGGATGATGAAGGGGTTGTTGCGTGAGGTGTGGATACAGCAGGCAAGTGGTGTTGGTGACTACCGCCATATCGAAGTTGTCGGTGCTGTACAAATATCCTTGAATTCCTTCGGTGTTAGAATCTCCATGCAGGAATCTGGATTCGAATGTTTGATTAGCGCACGTAAGATGCAGAATACATCCCGGCAACATCACCGTTCTACCGTCATATGCCAACAGAATGAGACCAGGGCTGTGTAACAGGAATCTGCACCAGGGAAAGCTCCGGCCTGCTGTCTTCGATAGCCATAGCTGATTTCACATAAACAGCAAATAGCCCTCAGCAGCACCACAGCGGCTAATTTTTGAGGTCCTTAAAATCGCCGCCCCGTCAGCAATTTCGATGACCTGGGCGACTTGCTGACATCATGGTTAAACTCACCGGACTCTATCATGGGGTGCTACCGCATGGTAGACGACCTAGTCTTCTACAATCGATACATCGATTAACCTGTCTGTGCTTGTTGGATGGGCCTTGCCTGTTCTGCTGCCCCCCGCCGATGCAGGGCTTTCGGGGATACGTCTGGCGGGGGCCACGGATCCTCCATGGTGGTGGGGAATTTGTAATGCATGGCATGAAATGCTGATTTTTGATTTTCTGTTCTTTTGTTTTGCTTTACTTCTGAAGTATATTGCCAATGGCCAATGCTTTTCCTTGGGGAGGGTTCTTCCACAGCTAAGGGTTGGCAGACCGTGGTGATGGTTCTCATACAGGACTTGATACGCGATAGACAGTCACACTGTAGGCAACCTTTGGGGAGAAAAAAGGGAAGTACATCTGCGATCTTCCTTCTGCCAGTGGCAGGAAAAAGACAACGTCAGAATAGCCAAAAAAAACATACAACAGAAGGGATTCGCTGGTGGTCACCCACCCAACTACTAACCTCCCGGCGTGTGGCTTAAGTACGGCTGAGCGGACGGGAAGCCCTGTTTTCCACACCCTGTGGTCGTATGTACTTGCTTGCACTGGCTTCAAAGCTATATACTGCAGCGACGCAGTGAGTCAACTCCTTATCCACAATTGCCTGTTCACATTCACCCAGTCATCCAACCAGTCAAGGAAGATGGTGGGAGAGATTGATAACCGACGTACAATGAACCTGACGGCGGCCCTGGGGCCTTGGTGCCTGAGGTGCCAGCTCACCGCCCGCCCGGCTGCCTAGCTACCTAGTACGGCGGACGATTGCGGCCATCGGGCAAATAAGGTTTTTTTTGCTAAGTTCTTTGACTGCAGATCTTACTACTTGCTTTTTAAGATTATATAAAGCTCTCTTCTCTCTGTGTATATATATTTATTCTCATTCTATCAGCCATATCTTTATATATCAATTTTAAGTCTTTTAAGGCTGAAATTATCTTTTATTATTACTAGAATAAATCTGCTATAAGTATTACTGTAAGTATATATATATATATCTATTAATAAGTCTTGATAATCCGAGCGAAGTAAGAATTATTAAAAAATAAACTAGACTATTTTATAAAACTGATAGCAGGCTTGCTTATAGGCTTATTTACAGAACTAATAATAAACTTACTTATAAAACTATTAATAAGCTTGCTCGCAGGCTTGCTTATAAAACTATTAATAAACTTATTTATAAAGCTGTTAGCAGGCTTGTGTCATAGATAACCCCCGTAACTATGGCGGATTATTAACAATCTACCTATGTATCCTCCGCGCAACAGTCATAATATTAATAACTCAAACCTTCTTTAGTATTTAATTTTTAGAACCTTACTAAATCTTTAGAATAGTAAGAATTAATCTTGAAATTAATAGACTGCTACTATTCTATACCTAACTAACCTTTTTTTTTTATAATTCTAATTTTTTTTTTTTAGTTATTTATAGAATACAGCATGTTACTGTAATTCTTATATTCTAATAGCAGTTCCGAGTCGGAAATTTTTTTTACCGCTAATAGTTTATTATTTTTACTATTAAATTCTTCGGTAGAGAATCTTACCGCAGTTAGAGATATTATTAATTAATTATAAGATTATTAATAGTTAAAAAAACAAGTTGCCGAACTGCAACGGGAAATCTAATATAATAATATTAAATTAGTATTAATTTAGCAACAGAAAACTTCCTCTTTTTTAAGTAAATCTAAAATAAATATTAAAATTAAAGATATTTTATAATTTGAACTTTTCTTTAATATTCAAAAACACCAGGAATAGTTTTATAATTTAGATTATAATTTTTAGAAGATATTATCTAAGTTTTATAATAACTACTGTAAGATTCTCGAGGCTGTAAGCTATATAAGCGCGACTTGTTAGTAGAGATAGTATTATTATTTTAAAAAATTACTACCAGAATAAAAAAAAATATTAGTTATTTATAGTCTGTTTTTACTAAATAAATACTCTTTCTTATTCGAAATACTGTTATTTTTAAGCCTAATATAATAAGCTAGTTAGAGCAAGCTCGGTAGCAAAATAATTAAGATTTTTATAAATTTTATACTTATTTTAATACTTTAAAATAATATTTTTTTAGAGTTACTAAAAAGAAATACAGCTATACTTTCTTTATAAAATTACTTTCTAATTTTAGTTGCTATATTAAAAAATATATATACTAATTATCTAAGAAACGAGATAAGA